GTTTCTTTTCTGTCACAATTTTCCAATTCCTACTGGCCTTCTAACTTGCAAATAGTATCAGGTGAGCTATTCTCAGGAGTGAGAGGAAGAAAGAATCACATTGATATGCTTAGAATAAAAAAAGTTAATTTAAATATCATTAGCAGGCGGAGGTCTTTAAGAAACCAATGAACATATGCTACATAAAGAAGCCAGGAGCAGACACTTGCTTTTAGTTGTGTTTTAGTGTGTGCCACACACCAAATAACACTGATTCCAACTATCATTGACTAGGATGCCCCAATCACCAACCACAATCTGTTTAAAAGGGGAACTAGCAGCTTTAGAATATAGGACGTGAGCAATTTGCCCCAAATTCTTACCTATAACTATAATAATCTTGATTATCTTATGGAATTGCTACAGAGATTAAATGAGTTCATATATTAAAAGTGCTTAAAATGGAGTTGGGCCTGCAATAAGTCCTATATTATTGTGTATATTATTGTTATTTTTATTATAGGGTGGTCTCCTATTCTCTTATTTTCTGTTCCTCCCACCCAATTTTTTTAAAATGAATGCCTTTTATGATTAAATACCATCCTCATCACCACTATCCACTGGACACAAAGCCACCCTCCTCCTTGGCCAGCACATTATCCACCATCTTACTACTTCCATCTTGGGTTCATAATATACATTCTCATAGTAAAAAAATCCATTGGCTTAATCATTTAAAAATACCTAGTCAATAATATCAATATTTTAGTCTCGATAGCACTGACTGATAGTAAAGAAAAGGGCAAGGATGACTCATTAAGCCACAATCACACACAGGGGAGGTTGTTCTGTCACAATTTTCCAATTCCTACTGGCCTTCTAACTTGCAAATAGTATCAGGTGAGCTATTCTCAGGAGTGAGAGGAAGAAAGAATCACATTGATATGCTTAGAATAAAAAAAGTTAATTTAAATATCGTTAGCAGGGAGAGGTCTTTAAGAAACCAATGAACATATTCTACATAAAGAAGCCAGGAGCAGACACTTGTTTTTAGTTGTGTTTTAGTGTGTGCCACACACCAAATAACACTGATTCCAACTATCATTGACTAGGATGCCCCAATCACCAACCACAATCTGTTTAAAAGGGGAACTAGCAGCTTTAGAATATAGGATGTGAGCAATTTGCCCCAAATTCTTACCTATAACTTTTCCTAGGAAGAGCGACTTGGGAGAGTTGAACAGCGTGTCAGATGAGCTTGGCAGGTGGTAAGTCACAGAAGGATAATGATCCAGCTGCAGGAAGGAAAAAGAGTCATATTCAGAAGAATGCCACTATCTTGCACTGGACTCAAATCTTCCGGGGGGATGACATCACTCTTTGAATCTTGGTTTCAAGTACCTCACTTCATTAGAAGTTTGTTCCTTCATAGCTCTTTGAAAGCATGTGAACTTGGTAAGTGAAGACCCTTTATGAATTTTAGAAGAATTCCACTATCTTGCACTGGACTCAAATCTTCCAGGGGGATGATACCACTCTTTGAATCTTGGTTTCAAGATACCTCATTTCATTAGAAGTTTGTTCCTTCATAGCTCTTTGAAAGCAATGTGAACTTGTTAAGTGAAGACCCTTTATGAACTGTTCTCCAGTTTATGCACATTTTCTGTGGATAATTTCCCTCCTGGGTTACGATCCTTGCTCATTTTATTGGGATAAAATCTGCTTGATCAAATCTCCAGTACTGATCTCTGAGATAGAAAATGCTACATCAATAGCAATACATTTTGTTTAGGATCCTCTTACTGTTCCACTTTCTTCACCTTTTGGTACTATCAGCTTATAGACCAATATGGATCTTCAGAACATATATTTTCAAATATGAATATATATTTTATGTCTGACTATATATTCAAATGTTGAGGTTCAGGTTGGGTAAGGATACATAGTTGTCTTGATTATCAAAATGAGGGTAACTTCTCCTTCCTACCACAGGGCAGGTGAGTTGGCCACAGAGGGAGGGAGGAGGAAGCCAATGGAAACAGCTTACAGTGATGGGGTGGGAGCAATGCACAGTTCTCACTACCCTTCCCACGCGTAAAGTGCCAATGAGGCTGTCCCAGAATCACAGGACTTGTCCTTTGTGTCCCTGTGTGGCTTTTCCTGCCTTAAAAAACCGATACAGTCTAATTGTGTTTCCCCAACGATGAGCTCCTAGAGCAGTGATGGTGAACCTTTTGAGCTTGGCATGTCAGCATTTTGAAAAACCCTAAACTAACTCTGGTGCCGTGTCACATACAGAAATTTTTTGATATTTGCAACCATAGTAAAAGAAAGACTTATATTTTTGATATTTATTTTAAATATTTAAATGCCATTTAACAAAGAAAAATCAACCAAAAAAATGAGTTTGCGTGTCACCTCTGACACGTGTGTCATAGGTTCGCCATCACTGTCCTAGAGCCTTCAGTGCTTCTTTGTATCCACCTGTGAAAAACTTCCTTTGTGACCTCGCCTTTTCTCTGAAAAGAGTTTAATACCTGAGGAGGAAAGCATGAGGGAGGGGGAACATCAGAAGAAAAACCTGGGTCACTGTCCAGCAAAGGCATTCCGTGGTAACTGGATACAAGAAGCAACTTGCTGAAGCTGACAGCGCAGACTCCAGGAACTAGATCCACTCCCAGGTCCTGGCTAGCAAGGGCTAAGGTGGGCAAAGATGCAGGAAGCCAGCCCGCTCTGGGGACCAGAGGGTGGCTGGCAAGTGTGGGAGGAAGGGAGCTAATCTCTCTCTGTTTACTAAAAACCTAGAGGTCACTGAGAAAGTCAAGCGAAGAGTCAAAGACACACATCTCAGGAATTTGCGGAGTTTTGATCTGCAGAACTGTAAGTCTTTTGTGCCTGGGTATTTGGTAATACTGTAACAAAAGTCCAAAAACTACCATTAAAGCGAACACTGGTATGTTCAACTATAATTTTTTAAAAATTTATCTTTATTGTTGAAAGTAATACAGATGTCCTTGACTATAATTTTGAAAAGTTAAAAAAATAATTTGAATTGCCTCATTAACAAAACATTTTATTCTGGTCAGAAAAATCTTAAATATTTGAAGTTGTTTCTCTGGAGCAAGGAGACTCCTTTTTTTTCCCCACCTGCCAAATATTAGGAGCTGCTTTGGCTCCATCTAGTGGCACGCAAAGGTAACTGCTGCTGTCCCCCCACCCATTTCTATTATCTGTTGTCAAAAAAGCTAACTGCAAATGGCCAATGTACTAGTAACTAATAGGCGATTCTATAATGCATCACAGTGATGATCTCCCCTTAAGTACTTCTTATAATTTAATCTATCCTGTTAAAAAACTGAAAAATTATACAAACAACATATGCCCACTAAAGAAAAATAATATAGGTTTGCACATAATAATAAAAGCATAATATGCTAATTAGATTGGACAGCTGAACAACCTTCCAGACATCATTCCAGATGTCCTTCCAGGTGAAGCCACGGCAGCGGGGGCTAAGGCAGAGGCAGTTAGGGCTGATCGGGCAAGCAGGCAAGAAGCTAGGGGTGATCAGGCAGGCAGAGTGGTTAGGGGTGATCAGGCAGGCAGGCAGAATGGGTAGGGGTGATCAGGCAGGCAGGCAGAATGGGTAGGGGTGATCAGGCAGGCAGGCAGAATGGGTAGGGGTGATCAGGCAGGCAGGCAGAATGGGTAGGGGTGATCAGGCAGGCAGGCAGAATGGGTAGGGGTGATCAGGCAGGCAGGCAGAATGGGTAGGGGTGATCAGGCAGGCAGGCAGAATGGGTAGGGGTGATCAGGCAGGCAGGCAGAATGGGTAGGGGTGATCAGGCAGGCAGGCAGGTGAGTGATTAGGAGCCAGCAATCCCGGATTATGAGAGGGATCCCAGATTGAGAGGGGGTGCAGACCGGGGTGAGAGACCCCCTCTCCCCCATGCATGCATTTCGTGCACTAGGCCTCTAGTGTATTATAAATAGAGAAGTGAATTTCAATTTGTGATTCTCTGTAAGCGGATTATGAGAGGGATCCCGGATTGCGAGGGGGTGCAGACTGGGGTGAGAGACCCCCCGTCTCCCCCGTGCATGAATTTCGTGCACTAGGCCTCTAGTGATTTATAATAGTTAAAGCAATCTCCTAACAGAATCAGCTCCATCTTGGCTGATTCTGTACTACACTAGCACACAGTTTAATACATAGTGATTAATACTTAATACTGCTCATTATCATTCAATAAAACACAACAGTTTTAGTTATTCCATTTTGAAACAAAGTATTAGGGTAAGTATGTCAGAGAACACAACACACCAGAAGCACTTAACTCCAATTATCCATTAAGTAATTCTTGACTTTTGGGTTTGGAGCACTGAAGTCCCAACTGACAGTTTGATGGATTGCAAAAGTATAAAAGAGACACAACCAATTTGTATTTTTAATCCCTTCACCTTTTTCACCAATGCCCCCCTCCAATCTGGCAACTAACAAAAAGTTCTTTGTATTTGAATCTGTTTCTGTTCTACTTATTCATTTTATTTGTAGATTCAATTATTGATAGATATGTATTTATTGCCATTTTATTGTTCATATTTTTAATCTTCTTTTTTTTTAAAGAAGACCCTTTAACCTTCACATTATACTGGTTTGGTAGTGATGAACTTCTTTAGTTTTTTTTTTTTTTTTGGTGTCCATCAATTTTAAATGATACTTTGCAGGGAGAGTAATCTTGGTTGTAGGTCCTTGCTTTTCATCATTTTGAATATTTCTTGCCACACCCTCTGGTCTATAAAGTTTCTTTTGAGAAATCAGGTGATAATCTTATGGGAGCTCCTTTGTAGGTAATTAACTGCTTTTCTTTTACTGCTTTTAAGTTTTTCTGTTTGTCTTTAACCTTATGCATTTCAATCATGATGTGGGTTGGTGTGGGCCTCTGTGGGTTCATTTTGTTTGGGACTCTGTTTCCTTCACAAAGTTAGGGAAATTTTCTGTCATTATTTTTTCAATAGGTTTTCAATTTCTTGCTCTCTCTCCTCTCCTAGCAACCCCATGACGTGAATGTTGGTGTACCTGAAATTGTCCCAGAGGCTCCTTACACTATCTTCAATTTTTTTAGATAGTTTTTTTTTCTTTTTGCCATTCTAATTGGGTGTTTTTGCTTTCTTATATTTCAAATTGCTGATTTGATTCTTGGCTTTACCCACTCTGCTGTTGATTCCCTGTAAACTATTCTTTATTTCAGTTAGTGTATCCTGCATTTCTGACTGGTTCATTTTTATGATGTGAGGTCCTCATTAAGTTCCTTGAGCATCCTTATAATCAGTATTTTGAATTCTGCATCTAATAGATTGTTTGTCTCCATTTTGTTCAGTTCTTTTTCTAGAGTGTTGTGTTTTTTTTTTTAAATCTTAACCCAAAGATATTTTTCTATTCATCTCCAGAGAGAGTAGAAGGGAGGGGGAGAGTGAGAGAGAGAGAAACCGATGTGAGAGAGACACATGGATTGGCCGCCTCCCACATGTACCCTGACCAGGGCTGGAGCTCGAGCTTGTAACCAAGGTACATGCCCTTGACTGGAATTGAACCTGGGACCCTTCAAAACACAGTCTGATGCTCTATCCACTGAGCCAAACCGGCTAGGGCTGGGCCATGTTTCTTTGTCTCCTCATTTTGGCTGCCTCCCTGTGTTTATTTCTATGTATTAGGTAGAGCTGCTACGTCTCCCAGGCAAAAGATAGGTGGCCTAATGCAGTAGGTGTTCTATAGGGTCCAGTAGCACAGCCTCCCTGACCACCCCATTTGGGCACTCGAGGTGTACCCCCTGTGTGGCCTGTACACTCTCCTACTGTAATTTGAGTCTTGATTGCTGTTGGCACCTCAATGGGAGGGATTTACTCAGGCTGATCAGCTGCAAGGACTGGCTGTAATCACTGACCACCGACTTCTGACCACCTTGGAGGATCTGCTTTGCAGGAGCCCACTGCACAGAGCAGGGCTCTGGTACCCAATGAGTCTGCCCCTTCAGTGTGTTGCTTGTGGAGGTGGTTGGGTGGTGGTGCTTTTATGTGATCTGAAACTGTCTACTATGTGTGCTGGCTCTGGGGCCTCTGGGAGGTGCAGGCAAGGTCTGCCATTGCCTGTGTTCTGCCCAGGGCCACCTGGCATGAGCTACCAAGTGATCTACTTGTGTTGGCCTTGGAGGTGCCAGGAGAGGCCAATCTGTGAACTGAGGATGGCTGTTGCTAGTGCCAGGCCTGGGGCCACTTAGCAAGACATATGGGGCTCACT